ATTTTTTAACTGAGCCTTCACTTCAGTCAGCTCATTGCATAGCGAGCTCAGTTTGTCACTCAGCGAGCGCACCATCTCACTCAAGGAGTTTACTACATCATTCAACAATTTCGACTCATTGCCGTAATCTTCCACCGACTCCTCTCTTTTTCGAGCACCAAGAGTTGGTTTTTCGCAATCACGGCAACACCAATGAAGCAAATTAGATTTCTGGAGAAATGAGTACTCCTTAGAGCTCAACTTTGAACAGCTGATACAAATGAGATCTTCACATCGTTCACAGGTCACTGTCTGGACTTCGCTCAGAGAGATCTCTTTGCAGTACTTGCAAACTTCCATGTCTAACTGAGCTGATTTGGTTTTATTTTTTATTCTAGAGGCCGTAGATGGCTTTTCTCTAGAGACAGTTGAGGGCTTTTCGACTATCTTTTTTATTTTCTGTCCAGCCATTATTAAATGCACGAACTAGATCTCTTGAACGGAGAAAAATACAGAAAAGGACGGAGAAACATACGACTGAGTTGAGTTGAGTATAGTAAAGTTCCCTCGAAAATTAAGGCTGGAACAACAGCTGAGCTGCAGCTGGCGAGGAAAGACAGAGGTGTGGTGGGGGAAACAAGGTATCAACGCGTAAGGCGGGTGGAGAGGGGGAGGTGTAGGGGCCAAGAGGGTGGGGAGGGTATAGGAAGGCGAGGCCTGCTAAAAGAAAGCAAATGGTCCCATAGTTGGACTAATGTCAAAGCTCGTGGTCAAATGGTTTCGTCTGTCAAAAATTGGGAAACGTATATGCATAAAAAACGTGCAATAATATACAGCTCATTGGAGATGGTGATTTATTCGAGATCGCACTTCATTGAAGATCGGCGTTCAATGGCGATTGCTGTTCACTGGAAATTGCAGTTCGCTAGAAATCACACTTCATTCTGGACTTCATTTCATTGGAGATTCTAGTTCATTTGAGATTGCATTTCATCGGAAATTGTGGACAATTGGTAATCTTAGTTCAGTGTAGATCTTAGTTCATCGATAATCGTAGATCAATTAAGATCGTCGCTAGTGACGCATCCAAACACACATAAAACAAAGTCATCGTCATCACCGCATTGTTTAGCCAGGTGGTCGTACTGGTCCGTCTCATGTGTCAGTGTAAAGAACAATTTTCCTGGTCAATTATCGATTGAGAATTAAGCTAAAAAAATAAACTTGCCTGAGACTGGAACTAAAACCGGAACTATTCACATTCAATGTCCTCTTTTATTGCTATTCACACGAGTTAATATCTTTCAATTACACCACACACAATTCTAAGCCAGCTCTGCGGATCCGATTAAGATTGCGTTGAGCTCGCTGATACAGAAATGAAATAACGTTGAATAAATTCAATTTAATATCACAGTTCATTGGAGATCGAATTTTATTGGAGAACCCAGTTCATTGGAGATCGTAAATAAACTAGGACAAATATTTGTTACAGAAAGGGAAGTCTCCATCATATTGTCAAGATTTGCATCATAATCTTACTAACAATAACCAATCAGTCCTACATGATGGAACCGATCGAAATTGCTATCAAAACTTCTATTGAATGCACGAGGGAAGAAATGATGTACGAAAGGCATAATAAACAAGACTATTTAAAAAACGTCGTCAAATTAATTCCGCATGCATTTCTTCTCTACGAACATTGCGCGTGTCAGACAAATAATACCGTAAAACGGGGTGACTTTTCTAACATTTAAGAAATGAATGCCCGGTACTCGAAAAGTTCTTGCCTATGAAAACTTGCGTTGATGACGCAAGTACCGTAAGATTACCTACAAATACAACAAGTTATATTTTATACATTTACTATGCGGCTCTTTGTATCACGAAAAAGTAAGCGCTAAAAATGGTCCAAGTTACCCCGTTTTACGATTTTTAACCTCAGATGACACAGGCTTCATCTCGGACACATTACATTTTTAAACGTTCTTCGTATATTCTAAAGTCTGTTCTTGGCAAAATGTCATTTTTACTCGGCATGTAACGTGTAGTCGAAGTTTCGCAAGACGTCACGATAATTTCTCCGTAGAAAAATGATATTGATAATAATAACGACGATGACGATGATGATAATGACAATAAGAATAATAACGATAATGCCAGCATGGCGAGGCACCAGAGGGCGTGCCTGGTGTGGGACCCTGGGGGGGCAAGTCCCTGACGGGGATCGACGGCCCGAAAATGGAAATGGAATGGAATAATAATAAGCATATTATTAATACAAATAATATTAAATTAACAACAATTCATAATAATAATATTAATGTTGTTATCATTATTGTGATATATTAATAATAATGATAATAATTAGTATAATAATACAAACAGCTGAAAATCAAAACATTGACGGATGATGTCTCTAAATATAGGATATAAGAATCATTTACACCTTCACGAACCCAACCGACATTACTCTCCCATCCTCCGTTGCATGCAGTTGATCAACACCTGAAAAATACACAATAAAATCTTATCTAAGAAATGGTCAAGCTTGCAATAATATAATTATGCCTTCATCCAAATTTCGTTTAAAAATGATTGAAAAATTAGTGTACGATCATTTGAATCGCTTTTAAATAGTCGATATTCCACTGTACAATAAAGTTGTTATCCCAGTTTTCCCAACGGAAGTGTCGCGATGCTCTGAAGACGACGCAATAGAAGCACACCTGCGCAAGATAGAGGGGCAGCTGCGTCTGCTGCAGCAGGTAAAGGTGCTGGTCTGGGTGATGACGCAGCCTGACAACCACCAGACAAAAGCTGTACACGTCCGCGACACGTGGGGCAAGAGGGTCGACAAGCTGCTCTTCATGAGCACTCAGGAGGGTGAGGAGCCAAATTACTATTTTTCGTTGTAGTTATGATTCATTTATTACGTTTATTAATTTTTTCTTTAACTCAGCGTCATTTATTTTATTTAAACATTCAAATTTTTATGTCCATACGAGTACGGGAACTAACTGTAATCAGGTACAGGAACTGAGCATGTTCGAGCTCGAACGCTTCGGAGGCTTCCGCCCACTGAGGTCATTCCGCTCTGGGCTTGAAGTGCAGCCCTTGGGTAGCTTGAAAGCTCGTCAGACTTTCACCAACTCAGATCCTTTTATACTCTCAGGGGACTATTAGGACGTTGAAAACTGCCAAGGAGATTCTGTCTAGTAGCTGATTTCAAGAGGGCAATCCTATTGAACAATAATATGAATAATCCTTTTGTTGCAAGTCCATGCAGCGCAAAAACTTATGTGTTACCGGATATTTCTAGGGGATAAAGTGAACAAAATGTATATTCCAACAGACCCTTCTCTTCCTACTGTTAAGCTGAACATGACTGAAGGCAGGGATTATCTTTGGGGTAAAACCAAAGAAGCCTACAAGTACGTCTACCAGCATTACATCAATGACTACGACTGGTTCATGAAGGCAGATGATGACACGTAAGTTTAGCATCATCCGTGAGTTGTTTCATCCAACACACGTTGTAGGTTAACCTTTGAATTTTACCTAGTGCTGACGTTTGAGTAATACCATATCAAGTATAAATGAACATTAAAACTGGTGTTTCTAAATGAAAATCAAATCGTTGTTGCAACATTTAAAGTCTTCAACACTAATGCTCAACTTCAGAAATATTCTCGCTTTCAATATAAAAAGATTTAAATTCCGCATGAGAGGTTATTTAGTAGGAGTAGGAAAATTTTCATTCTGGAATGACTGTAATATTAGAATGTTTGAAATCATGGCTTGTTAAATTCGATAATTTTGATAGAAATTGTATAGCGATGGAATATCGTCATATATGATCTACGCAACATTATCAAGCTGTTATATTAGCTTTAGAAATTGTTGGATTTAAATTCTGTGATGTCATTATAGTCCAAATCTAACCGAACGGTAGCAGTGAATTGTTAATTTTAAGTGTTGTAATGTAATTTTGATTATTTGCTTGGTTCAATCATGCATCAACGAATGTCTTCTTTTTAAGTTGGCAGTGACCGTGGATAAGAAATAACAACTTTGACCGGGAACATCCATATTGTTAGGATAAATACCGAGTATTTTTTTCACTGAGAATTATTATTTTCAATATTATAAATGAGAGCACACAATCAGATAAAAAATTACTTACTGATAAACGAATTAAAGTTAAATCTGAATTTAGAAAAGGCTGAAAGAAAGGAAAGGATGGAAAAAATACAACTCGGTACTCACTGCAGTGAGTGACAGAGAACGCATTTTCTCATCGACGAAAACGTGAAGTCACGGACAGACGGACGGACAGACAGACGGACGGACGGACATAGCGAGCAAAATAGCGCCTTTTTCCATAAATGAGAAAATGCGTTAAAAAAACTCGAAACTCATAGAAGAGAGAGGTAAAGAAAAAAGATTGCTTTTGTTGTGACTTGCTAATCACGCAAGTGGGAGGTGCTATGTTCCATCTCAAATGTATTCCTATCAGCTCATATATAAGTCAGTATAATTCATAGCCTAATCATGCAAGCACATGCGCATCTCTTAATTAGACAGTTCGATTGAGGGCGCTGAATGCCCTACTCGTATTGTGTGCCCTAAACTCACTTTAGATGTGACTGTTGATTGAAGGTGGGGATTATTTAGATTCTGGCGATTTATGAACATATTAAGTATTCAAGAATAACATGACAGTAATTTATTTATATGCTAATTTTACATTGACACTTTCAGATTTGTGGTGATGGAAAATCTACGCTACATGTTGAGCCTCTACGACCCGGAGATTCCTATTTATTTTGGCAGCAGGTTTAAGAAGTTCAACCCCCAGGGTTACATGAGCGGAGGTGAAGAACTTGAATCATCACTCAGCTACCTAATAGAAGTATTTAAGTAATTCGAGTACGAATGATAAAATTGGAACAAAATTAATGTTTGCAGGACCTGAAAATGGTTCAAACATTTACTTGATTGCCAAGATGGAGGAGGAAAGTGATAAAAGTGAAGAACTAAAGAAAATTCTCCACTCTCAATGTTCACTTTAACAATATAAAGGCATGATTCAGGGAGTTATTACATTTCATTTCTGAATTTCTGATGAATTTGTATTGGTTTGGATGACGTCTCGGTCAGGGGGCGGCTACGTTCTCAGTCGCGCTGCCGTCAAAAAATTCGTCGAAGAGGCACTCCCGGATCCCAAAAAATGCAAAGCAGATCACACGGGAGCCGAAGACGCTGAAATGGGTTCGCTAGTTCCATTTTAGACGTACTTTTCTATTATATTTACCTGCATTATATCCTGTCATTAATATCTACGTCAACGCTTCTGTTGAGGTCACTGTTATGTCATTAAATTATACCGAGATTTTTTGCGGTGATAGTTTTCAATAACCACTGTGAATTCATGGATAGTTCGCAACCGTAATTTTAATTAGCCAGTTGGTGCTCGCCGCTACTCACAAATAAATAATAGTTCACGATGTTACTCGAAGTTTATTTCTTGTATGGCCTTCAAGGCATATGCATGACCAACGTGGGTGTGCTGGCTGGGGATTCCAGAGACGAGCTTGGCAGAGGTCGCTTCTTCCCTTTCGTGCCGGCACATCACCTCGTGTCTGGCTTCATAGGCGAGAAGAGCTGGTACTGGGACTATATATACTACCCGATCAAAGTGGTTAGTGATGGTAGGGACATTTTTGTGTTGGTACTGGGACTATACTTACTACCCGATCAAAGCGGTTAGTGATGGAAGAGACATCAGAGCGTTGGTACTGGGAAGAAATATACTACCCGATCAAAGTGGTTAGTGATCGAGAGACATATTGAGTGTTGGTACTGGGACTATATATATGTACTACCCGATCAAAGTGGTTAGTGATGGGAGAGACGTCTGAGTGTTGGTACTGGGACTATATATACTACCTGATCAAAGTGGTTAGTGTTGGGAGAGACATCTGAGTGTTGGTACTGGGACTATATATACTACCCGATCAAAGTAGTTAGTGATGGGAGAGACATCTGAGTGTTGGTACTAGGACTACATATACTACCCGATCAAAGTGGTTAGTGATGGTAGGGACATTTTTGTGTTGGTACTGGGACTATATATACTACTAGATCAAAGTGGTTAGTGATGGGAGGGACATCTGAGTGTTGGTACTCGGACTATATATAACTACCCGATCAAAGTGGTTAGTGATGGTAGGGACATTTTTGTGTTGGTACTGGGACTATATATGCTACTAGGTCAAAGTGGTTAGTGATGGTAGGGATATTTTTGTGTTGGTACTGGGACTATATATATACTACTAGATCAAAGTGGTTAGTGATGGGAGAGACATCTGAGTGTTGGTACTAGGACTATATTTACTACCCGATAAAAGTGGTTATTGATGGGAGAGAAGTCTGAGTGTTGGTACTAGAACTATAGATACTAATTAATCAAAATGGTAAGTGATGGGAGAGACATCTGAGTGTTGGTACTGGGACTGTATATATTACCCGATCAAAATAGTTAGTGATGGGAATCGTGTGAAATCATGAATTTTTCAACAAAGTGGGGTATATTTCTCCTTTAGTTTGATTTCCTTCGTTAGTATATCAGAGCTGTCATTCACAATATTCTGTAATTTTGAAAACGTCAACTCTGGAACGTTGCTCCTGCGAAGTGTTACTCTATATATTTTTCGCATCGATTTAACTAAAAAAATGTGTCGTATGAAGCGCCTAGGAATTTTCGCCTGAGGAACAAAAATATTTAACATTTTTCCTATCCCAGGGTCCGGAATGTTGTTCAGACACTGCTATCACATTCCATTACATCAGCCCAGATAAGATGAGGGAGTTGGATTACTTCCTCTACCACCTCAGACCGTACGGGGTTGTGACTCAGGAACCTTTTCCACCCGCCCTCCCTCCGGACCTCAAAAGTGTCCCCAAACAGGTGATGCACGGGATCAAGTTAAGGGCATTTCAAAATATATGTACCCACAAAAAAAAATTCTAAGCCCCAGATTGCGTGTAATTCAATAGTTCAGTTTGAATCTACAGCTCAGACTGGGAGTTAATCCAAAGAAATAAATATATGAATGGTTTCGTTCCAGACCGATATTTTTATTATCATCAATTATAAGTTTGAGTCATACAAAATTCTAAGGACAACATATCATATTGATAATCCTTTAGATTTGCTTTCGGCCGGATCCCTAATTCCTAAATAGTTCAAGTCCGTTGTCAAATCATTCAAGTTCGATCATAACGTTGCTCAGATGTAAACAAAACTTTACATTAAAAGGATGTATAAATGCTGATAAATTACACTTCTTGTTTATTTAAAAATGCTCCTACTTAATTGAAGATTTAAGTTGCTTTTCATTTGAGAAATGTATTGAATTTCACGTAGATCTTATTGGTAATAATATAAAATATAATTTTTACAGGTCATCGAAAAATTCGGCAACAGAACTTCATGAGCCGTCCTGCTTTGGTCGTCGCTAGTCCTATTGTTGTGATATTTATAATTAAATTTTGAAGAGTGTTTTTATTTAATAAATAATTGAATTCGCATTAATATAGTGTCCTTACAGTGAGATCTTCCAAATTAGCCCAAACGAAAAATTCAGATTTTTTAATCTAGTACCTGATAGTTTGGTTAAGCGGAATAATTTTCGATAAACCTTGTTTATAAAGTGAAAAATCATAATTGCTCGACGTATCATGTACGTTTAAAAGGAAAAACCTCCACGAAGTAGATTGAGTTGAGGTGCATGCCGAATTCGTAGAGTTTTGAGTATTTATTTCGAATGCAGAGGCTTAAAAGTGACATTTTAGTCGAGCTTCACCCTTCTTGTTGAAGAGAGATGAAATGAACACTCGAACTTTCGTTTTATACTGATGATTATGAAGTTAGGATATGAGTCCTACTACAAATGTACACGAATTCTGAGATCGGACTAGATATTTACTATAATTCTTCGTCGATAAACGACATTTTTGGGACACTGAAGTAAATACTCTCTGGTAAGAACCTCAATAAGAAGTATGGTAGCGAGAGACGTTGTACGAATCACGCCGACTCGTACATAGCGTGTCAGTCGGCGTCAGTCACGGCTGTCAATGGTACGTGCCTTGACACGCCGCTGAATAAGCGAAGACTGTGAGTTCGAGCAACACTGAAATGCGGGAAAATCTTGAACGGCTGCTAAGAATGCGAGCATCAGTAGGCCACGAAATGGCAAGTGGTGTGGGTCCGACCCATATCAAACCGCGGACAAATTTACTCGAGTTTGAGAGGTACTAGCATCCATTACACGAGAGGGCTGGTGCTGCAGTATGAGCCGCATCATAACGCGTCTAGGAGCTGATACAAGACAAGAACACCACAAGCGCCGTGATTTTACGTTTAGGCATCTCGTACTTGCGCCCGGTTTTTACCCATTAAAGCCGAGAATTATTTGGGGGATAATTCAATATTTTTTCCAGTTTGAATACTTCATTTAGTCATTGTTAATCTATTAAAACATTCATTTTACCAAAATTGCAGATGAATGCTAAAATATGGCCTGGCAACTAAAGTTGCCATTCGGCAGTAAGATAACATATATGAACTTCTATGTACTGTATGGTAATCATATTGACTAGGGCCAATAAAACTAAATTTTCTATAGGAATTAAAATAATGAAACAAAAATATTTTGAAACGATAAATGATTTATCCATTCAGTATTTAAATCATTGAAAAAATTCGTGAGAGAATGGGTCAATAACATATATAATGGTAAACATCATCGATAACCACTGCTGCATAGAAGAATAAACATCGTATGGATAACTTTCATGCAACGAGGGTGATGAGCAATAGTGCATAATTTGCATGTGCACACAGTCCTTCCTTTGCTGTGTGACATTTTGCATATTTTGTTTCTCCTTTCACTATCCAGTAATCTGCTGTAGTTATCAGGACAATATTCTAAGCGGGTCCACATGATGCAAATTTTGAACCGCTTTACTTCCTGGCTGGGCTGAGTCTTTATGGTTCCTTAATAACAACATCTCTGATGAATTTCAACCACTGAATATTGTTGCCGCATATATTGAAGTGTCTCCAAGCATTTACAGCTCGGGCACTAACTATGGTGGTGGCCCAAAAAAGGGACCACCACAATTTTTTGGAGTAAATTTTGGATCCGATAAGTTTCTAATTGTTGGTGAAACAAATCATACTAGTATAGCCTTCTATGAGGCAGTTTACTTTATCAAGAGAGAAGCAATACGGGCAGAAATACTCCCATGCTAGCAAAACTGATCTCATTAGACTGCAGATTTTGTTGCTGAGCATATAATTTGCTCTGTTCACATAAATGGTTTATCCATTAGTTAGTACAAAAGTAATTCATTGCGTGTAATGAGGTACTTTTATCAGTCAGAGAGTACTGGATAGCATGTCGATCTTCACAAAGTGCGGTATTGACGAAGTCACGTTGTGAGAAATTATAAATTTCTCACCGATTATTTCTGTAATTTCCAAGCTAAATATTATTTCCAAACAATCTTCCATAATAATAAAGGTAATCTTGAATTATTTATTTCCTACGCAGTGCGGTTGCCGCTTGTCCAACTTGTGCGGACAAGTCAATGTCCGAGACTGGGCGAACAAGCTCGTCAGATTTCTTAGATTCATTAAGCAGTTCCGAGCGGTGGTCGTCAATCTGTGATACTTGCGAACTACAGTTTTGTGCCGTGAACTAATCAGTGTCTACAGAAGCTTCATACTCGTCAATCATTAAGTATTTCTCAAACTTCCTATAAACCTGATTCGCTGTCCCTTATTTTGTGCGGATGCCGTGTCATTTTCCTTTTGTTTGGTTTGCATTGCCTATGCTTATTTTTGCTCCTGTGGGAAGTTGGACACATATTTTAAGTGTATCATTTTAAACAAATTTATATCAGAATAATATATTTAAAATCTATAGCAAAGTTAAAGTTTATTTCAAATATATATCAGTTATTAAATATATGGTATGATAAATATATATAACAAATTACAGCAAATATTTTGAATTATTTCAAAGTATAATCAAAGTTTATTAAATATCGATAGTTCTATTATGCGAGAAGAGGGTTCGTGCAATTCACGTTGGCAGTTGGTTATACTGTTTCGGAATGTGCAATCCTAATTTAAGTCTTTCATCTTCTTTCAACACGCAGTGAAACCTTTAGCTATTCTTGCTGTCTTTTTCCGTCCAACTTCCTACTCCTCTAACTGATTTCCTCTAAATTTCTTAAATTAAACTCTTCATTCATTCCATTGTCATAAAGTCATAACACCTGTCTCTTATACACATCTAGATGTGTATAAGAGACAGCTGGTAGACTGCTCTGATCTTAAAACTGAGCGAGTAGAGCAATATAGATTATAGACTGCATATATATATAACGTTCAGAGATTGAAATGCCCCCTCCCTTCCCCCCATAAGGGGGGGAAGGGAGGGGGCATTTTTTTAAGAATTTTTCATATTCGGCCGTGTCTGTCCCGAAAGTATCAGGTACCAAATACGCTCGCCCCACGATCGCCCCAAGCTCGACGAGTAATTTCACAAGATTCCATTTCGGCGCTTATTTCGCTACGGCAACCGGAACCTAATGCGGACATAGAGCTTCTAATTTACCCGGCCATAAGAACTTGGGGCGTCCGTGTGCCAGCGGCTGACAGGTCTTCGAATTTCGATAGGGAGGTCAGTTGAGATCTTAAATTAATTTGTTCTTTGTTGCTAAAATTGCTGATAATTTATTTTACTGTCAGTTCCTGCATGAACCTGACCAAGATTATGCTTATTCCCTCCTATAGTATCTACGTTCCTCAAGTTTCGGGTCCAGTGCTGTCGCTGAGCCATTCCTGTGTGCCACGTTATTTCTTATACGTAACGTCTACGTTGTTTGGCGTCACGGCTACGTCTCAGCGCCTGGGAGACCCCATCTGGGGCCGTATTATCAAAACTTCGTAAGTACGCAAAATCGACTTACGAGTGGCGTTGCTATGACAACGTAATACTAGTGGTGGTATTATAAAAACATTTGCGCGGGAAAAAAATTTAGGCTTTTAGCTAAGACTTGCGTACGAAAGTTTTGATAATGCCAAAATTAGGGTGTATTTACGTACCACAGAACTTTTTTGTCGTAAGTACAAAAAGTTACGAAGTTTTGATAATACGGCCCCTGGAGCCCTTTAAACTTAGCCACGCTCGGAACAAGCCAACCTTATTTTATTTCATTGCCATTGCTTACTGAATTTTACTTCATCGTTCCTGTTATCAGGAGGATAAATAAATAAATGAATGAAAACCTTATGACGCATCGTGGCTATTACTGAAAGCGCCGTTGCTGCTTCCAGCCGATTTTAATTGTTCTGAATTCATTAAATATACCTTTGAATCGAAACTCGACTGTGTAAATCCTTACAACGTCACCTTTGCTGTATTTATAAAAAAATAAGTTTGGCTTCTTCGAAGGTGGTTTTCCTTCTGTTCGTTATTGTGACGAACTAACTTGAATAATAGCTAATTGATCGCGTCACCTCAAAGTTCGGATGGTCTAATTGTCACGTCCACCAATGACCGGAAATTAAATTCAACTTCCCTATTGGTTTTATCAGCAAGAGCTTGGACTGAGCGGATAGTTACTCGAACAAACGTTTTAAGTTTATTAAATATAAACGGCAAATAAATGTAAACAAATAACACTATTGATTTACAGAGGTGCGGCATATGAACGAACTAACAAGTTAAATGCGGAGGAAGTTAAAGTGCGATGAGAGCAAAATGCGAGGAGAGAGCTAGAGCATTGAGATCCGAGAATAACGCACGATCCTACAACAGAAAACAGAAAGTAAATATCTACGCATGACAAGTCATATATACATAAAAATCACTATGTTCCATCAAGTATTTCAAGCTAGATTTCACCACTATAGCACACAACTCACCCTGGCGTCTGAGTCAAAATCCTATAAGAGAGGAACCAGGACGCAAGTCGGGATCGGCATAGCATCTGACGGCTATACTGAACCTAACACCGACGTCAGAGTCGGTCCTACTTAAACTTCACAGTCTGACATACAGTAGTGGGAAATTTGCAGCAACACTTCATTACAGTTATCATCTTGACAACATGACTCATCAATATATATCTGGGCAAATTATCAGGTTTTACAGGCAACCTTATCATCAAAATCATCCGAATCCACGTATGATTCCGTATGAGTATTTTCTTTGGATGATAAATTGCAAATAAAACTTCATTGTCCTTTACGTCCTAGTCTACCAATATATCGTAAACTTCTGATAAAGTTCACTTGCATATAAATATATGTAGATATATGCTATAAATATCACAATCAAACTTCATTAAAATATCTTTCTATCAACTGGATGTTAACTTATTTTGTTATAATACATGTGGAACATGAGGTAGCCTTTTATCTCCGCATTCATGCTCAAATACAGTTTGCATGTCACGAATGCCGAGTGGCAACTTCAGTTGCCACTATATATGATTTAGCTTA